GACATCCTTATGAACACAGGGATTTCCTGCCGTGTTTGCCCAGGTCTTCAATAACTTTCTGCCACTGAGCACCCCTGTGCAGCAGAACCTGGGGTTTAACGCAGGGGTAAAAGGGGGAAAGGCGTTTGGGGACAGCAGGATCCCATTTAGGAGCTTTCTGTCAGCAGCGTGAACTTGGAAATCTGGCCGTGCACTACGGTGCCGGGACCCATACAGATGCCGGGTTCTTTGCCCGTAGCATTGCCATTGGCTCTTTGCTAGCTGCCAGCTGAGTCCTAACCCCCATCTCCGTGTTATTCCAGTGCTACCTGTGGCTGACTCAGCCCCTGCGAGCCCTGGAGCCGACGTGTCAGGGCCTGGCCTACCAGGTAAGCCCCCTTCCCTTCTGCCGGTGGGCCCCACCGTTGCTCTCGTGAACCCCTGGGGGAAGGAGCTTGGGGAGCAGTGCAGTTGGAACCACAAAGTGCACAGGGGAGGCGCTGTCTGTCGCCAGCCTCCAGGGTGGGCTGGCTAGGGGACCTCCAAGCAGCCTAATCTCTGGCCACTCTCACTTTCCTGCTGTTCCAAGGAAACACTTGTAAAGTTCAGGAAATCACAGAATCAGAAGCTGAAAGCCATGTCACCCCTACTGAGACAGGACTGTTGCTTACGTTTCCTTGCGCTGGTTTTCCAGCCTTACCAAGAAACGAAACAGCGAGTCTTGGAGCTCTCAACACTTCCTAATAGCAGCCTCTCCTCTCCTTCCTCATAGAGAAACACTCTCTTAAATTTTGTGTACTTCCTTGGCCAGCGCCACGGCTCACTAGGCTAATCCTCTGCCTGTGGCACCAGCACCCCGAGTTCTAGTCCCGATTGGGGCACTGGTTCTCTCCCGGTTGCTTCTCTTTCAGTCCAGCTCTCTGCTGTGGCCTGGGAAGGCAATGGAGGATGGTCCAAGTGCTTGGGCCCTGCACCTGCATGGGAGACCAGGAGGAAGCACCTGGCTCCTGGCTTTGGACCAGCGCAGCGCCAGCCATAGCGGCCATTTGGGGGGGTGAACCAATGGAAGGAAGACCTTTCTCTATGTCTCTCTCTCTCACTGTCTAACTCTGCCTGTCCAAAGGAAAAAAAAAATTGTGTACTTCCTTCTAGTCCATTTCTTAATATTTTATGTATACAAATTAGATTATTTCAACATGTTATTTTTTTCCCTTCATACCATTTGTATGGGTTCTTCTTTACCCAATGTCTGTTTCTGTTGTTGTCCATATTGGTGTGTGTTTGTGTGTGTGTTTGCACTGTGGTTTCACTGTTCCTAACTGCTAGGCAGTATTCCGGTTTTTGGATATACTGCTTGACCCAATCCATTTCCCCACAGATGGAAGAACATTTTCCTAAGTTTTCGGGTCTACTGGGCTAATGCCAAGTTCTAAAGCAACGGTGCATGGGAAATACCCGTTCTGCATCTGACCTGCTTTGTTTAGTGACTAGCAGAGCACATCGCATTGTGGTGTCACCATAGAGCACTCTTTCCAGAATGCTCCTCCTCATCCGTAAGCCAGGCAGATGGGGCGGGTTCAACAGGTGAGTGTCACAAAGGAGGCCCCCATTCTGCTCCCGCAGAGGCCTGGCCGGCGCTGAGGCTGGTGAACGGCTCGGGAAGATGCTCCGGCCGAGTGGAGGTTTGCTACCAGGGCACCTGGGGGTCGGTGTGCGACGACGGCTGGGGGCTGAGCGAGGCCCAGGTCGTGTGCAGGCAGCTCGGGTGCGGCCCAGCCCTGTCTGCCCCGCTCGGTGCCCACTTCGGCCCGGGCTTCGGAAGGATTCTCCTGGACAGCGTGCGTTGCACTGGCGAGGAAAGCCGCCTGGCCCTCTGTGCCCATGACAGCTGGTTCACGCACGACTGTGGGCACGGAGAGGATGCTGGAGCCATCTGTGCTGGTGAGGGTTGGTTTCCAAGTGGCTCCTGGGCGGACAGGGTCTGTGACCCCTCCCGGGGGGCTGATGTCATCCTCTCTCTGCCTCCACAGGTTCTCTAACAGAAAGCCCCTCCCCTCCAGGTAAGACTCTCTGGGGCTATTTCTGGGTCCCATTCGACACACTTTTGGTTCACTTTGCTAATATTTATTCATTGAGATGGAAATGGAATGAAACTGAGCTTGCCACATTGAGTGCACAGGGTCTAGGTTAATCCATAGTCACTCCAGGCCTACAAGGCTTTCCTGGTTGACATTCCAAACCCCATGGGGACTTGGACCACAGCCATGCTCTTGCAGCTCATGGACACCGAGGCTCTCTTTCTCAGGCAAACTGCCCATCCCAGCCCGAGTAGCTCCCCTCTAAGGCAGCTGCCCAAGGGTACATTCCAGGACCCTTTGGGGTGAGGCTTGGCAGGGGGCTCAGCACTGAAGACCACTAGCAAAGAAGTTGAGAATTAGCTCCCAACGCGTATTCTCTTGGGCCAGAGCCTTCCCACATTGGAGATGTCACAGGGCAGCTGCAGGTGAGACAGGAGTTTTCTGAGGCCATTGACTGGCTGTGTCAGTGTTCTTCGCTTCAGGACACGGTCGCCTGTGACCTGGCCCTCAGTCATCACAGAGTTCTCAGGCACTTTTCAGAGGGATCCGGTCAGAAAATTGTCCTTCTGAAATCTGGAAAAACACATTTTTCCTAACAGACAGAAAAAATTGACATCAGTTGAAAATTTTACCCTTGGGTTGTTTCAAGGTCCATCTGCCACTCAGTGATACCAGGGAACATTTCAGTTACTTTTTTTTGTACTAAAGCAGCAGTTTTCAAACATTATTGTACATCAGAATCGCTTGGAGGGCTCCTGGGCCCACCCTCAGAGCCGTGATTCAGTAGGTGTAGGGTGGAGTGTGAGAATTTATATTTTTAATAAGCCTAGGCTGTGTATGCTGCTTGTCTGAG